GATCTTTGATTCCTGAAAAGTTAGAAGAAACAAGTAGTCCAAGAGAATCAATAGTGTTTGTCAATCATCAAAACACAGGTCATGAAAATAAGTTTGCAACACAAATTATTAACTCTCTTCTCCATAACATCTCTATTATTATATTTTAGTTTCCTTAAATGTTTTTATAAATTTTGGCACCAGCGAAATTCCCTAAGAAATTGGCATTTGATGATACAAGTAGGGTTTTTGGGACCATTAGGTGTATGTTTTACAAATCGATTTCACGTAATTTTTTTTAATAAATTAAGTTATTTATGGATATTTTTCTAAAGTTATTTAACTTCCTTTTAATTCATTTGATAAGTTAATAGAGAACAATTTTGGGAAAATAAGAAAAGTGGAGAGAGAAGGTAGGAAGTTAGGTTTTGACAGTGGTAGAGCGAATTTCATCAATCAGCCCAGTTGGGAAATTTGTTCATCTCGAGCTAGGTTACACTTGGCATATTTAAGATTTTAATAATTTTGTATTTTTTACATTTTTTCGATCTATTTTATATTTCCATGATAGAAAAATGAGGATAATTTTATTTTGATAAAACTTTCACCTACTTAACTTTTTATATATTATAAAGATCGTAATTACAAACATTTTAAATATATTATGAAAAAAATTTATCGGGTGATTTTAAAAAGAATCAAATTTTACCTACTCAAAAATTTATTTTGACATCTAAAAATAGTGCTTCAGTTCAATTAAAACTTCATAATGATGTTTTACACAATTTATTGTAATTTGGTTATGTTTAAAAATTATGAATTTTTTACTCAGTAGTATTTCTATTGTCTATCATTTGGACATTTTGGAAAATTTTTAATTCAATCCAATTATGCTTTAATTAATGCATTTCATTGAAAAATATGTTGTGATGTGATGCCTGAGCCAATGGGCGACCGAGGTGAGATTCTATTATACCGGCAGCAGTTGGAGACCGAGGTGGGATTTTATAATACCAGTGTCAATTGGCGACCGAGGTGGCATTCTGTTATACCGGTGAGATTATGTTACCTAAGTGTTGCTATACCAAAGCCAATGGGCTACCGAGGTGGGATTCTGTTATGAACTATTTGCTTATAATTCAATTCATTTCAATATTTATTTAATTTTATTTAATTTTAATAATATTCATTTAATTGTATTTAATTTCAGTATATGATTTAGTACAATGATCTCAATTTTTTTGTTATTGATTTTTATTTAAGGCTATGATAACCTACTAGGATGTGTTAGCTCATTCATACTTCTTCTTTTATTTTTAGGCCCAGGAAAGCATAAGGAGTGAGATGTGTAGTTTGGATAGCATGTTCCTGATAACATGCTCTGATCTATGTTGTAGGTATGTTTTGGTTAGTTTTGATTTTTGCAGGCTCGGCTTTTATTTTTTTATGCTCTATGTTGCCAAACACTTTTGTTGATAGATTTCAAATTATATATATTTTGGATGATATATAGAAAATTATGTTGAGATTTAGTAGTCTTCTGCTTTATATTACATTCAATAGTAGATGTATAATATATAAATTAGAAGTTTTATTTCAGTACTTCTCCAACTAGATCTAGGAGTCAGTCTTGCCCAATCGACTAGGGTATGACCTGTGTGTTATTGGGTCAGGTTATGATAAGATTTTTGGTATCAGAGCATAATTTGGAGAAGTGAATTGTAATAGAGCCATAGGAATTAACATGTAGATGTTGAGTCCAGTAATTAGGTTGTTATCTGAAATTGTTAGGAGATAACTATACATTTGAACAATAATGTTTGGAATCATCAAAACTACATAAGTTGCATAAATATAACTCATTCAAATAGCAACTATTCAAACAGTAGAAGCGTGTTAGATGCTTCTGGGTAGTTTTGGGTGCTCATTTTATTTATTTTTTCATATACATGTGTTAAACTTTATTCGCTCTAAATCAGAGTCATCAAAAGCAATGGATCGATCGATGTGAGACTTCTTTGGTGTTGGTTCTATGCTTGTTGTAATTAAGACTTGATTAGGTAATGATGGGCCCCCGACAATGGTCTCAATCTCACCAGCGTTTGATGATTATTCATCAGTTATCTTTGCTATTGATTTTGCACCCCCAGTTAATTTTCAATGTTATTTGCATTTTTCTCAAAAAACGATTTTGCACCCCCAGCGGGACCAGCCTCATCTTGAGCAAGTAGGTTTTGGTTGAATTATCAAAGATATCCTTGTCGATTCAATCTCTCCATTTCATCCTTAAGTTGTCAATATGCTTCAATAGTGTGTTCATGACTAACATAGAAGTGGAAGTATTACTCCTAATTTCCCATGTTCGACTTTAAATGATTTGGCCACTTCACATTCTACTGATCTCATATGGACATCAATACATTAGCTCGAGATATATTAAGTAGTGTATACTCCTTTTCTTAATGAGGATCTCATCACGGATGTGAGGGTTGAGGGGGCAAGTTGTAATTTCCTTACTTTTTCAATTCGATAGTGAATTATCTATCCTTGATGCACTTTTACGCTTTCCATTTGATTTCTAAAATGGCTTTTTATGAGCATTAATAGCTTGATCTGCAAAAATTTGTGCCTCCACTCGATGGATCATATCAGCATATAAATGAACCATGTCATTCATGAGTGCTAAGGAAAGGGGCCATGACGAAGTCCTCCAAGAAAACTCCTCTAAGCAATTCATGATCTAGCCTTGGAATTTATCAAACCTCTCTAAAAATTTTTTAAGAGTATTTTTTGAGGGACTCACTTTCACTTTGGCAAATTATTGAGAGGTAGAAAGAATCTTTAACAATTCTCTGATTGACAATAAATTGATCGATGAACTCTTTGGTCAATTTGACGAATATGGGAATGGTTTCTACTGGAAGCGAATAGAACCGTGTCTGGATGTCCTACTAATGAAGAGATTATCTTCCCCATCTCATAGGGAACTCTTCTTGGACCAATCATCAAAGTTCATGACGTAGGGCATTGTGTGGGAGCTCAACAAGGTGAGGTCAGGCCAAGTCCTTTATGATGCCTGGATGGAATGCAGGCTAGCCAACTGAGGCGAGAAGGATGAGTAAAGCTAGCGATGTCAACAAGATCGATGTCTTGTTGTGTTTTGGGGTGACCCCTTGACTCAGGAAGAGGATTATCTGCATGAAGATGTTCAAGTTGAACACCTTCGGTCAGTGGTGGATCTTGAGGGAGAAGAACATCCTCTTGTTGTGCTAGCATTGGTTTCCATGTCACTCGTAAAAGTTGAAGGATCTTATTATGAGATTCCTCCATTTTCTAGATGCAATCTTTCAGGGATGGTCTTGATGTCCCTTTCACTACAAGGTTTTTCCCATAGGGGTAAAAAGATGTAGACACCTTGTATCCTTGGTTCATGGATTGATTCTTGGATCGGTGTGTGTTGAAGCGAGAGGCTCCCATGTTACGATTGTTATGCCTGTTTTCCATTAAATCAGGGCTTAATATAGTGGGATTGAGATTTACTATAGACAGTATCAAGCTATTGTGGGCTAGAGTATTCACGACGGTAAAGTATGAAAAACATCATGTATTAGCATTACACGAGTATCCATCACACAAATAGAGGAAAAAGATACAAAAAATTTTTACGTGGAAAACCCTGATGAGAAATATCACAGGGCCACGCCCAATTGAAATGATTCCACTAGTGTTTGAATATATTACAAGTGACTGGTTCGACCTTGAAATTGAGCACAATAAGTTCACACAAGTAAACAATATGGTTGAAAACTAGTTACAAATGGATATCGGATAAAAACAAGTGATATTGGATGGTCGGGTAAAAATCCTACGTCCATTAGCGACTTGGCGGAAGTTTGGCGTCAATTCGGTGATAGACAGAAGTTTGATGATGGGAGGAAGAAGTCTGGTGTCGGGCAGATGTATGACAATGGGCAGAAGTTCGATGATGGATGGAAGTTTGTCTTTGGGTAGAAGTCTGATGAAAGTCTATTGATAAGCAGTGGTTTGGTAAAAGTCTGACGACTTACATAAATCTGATGATGTGTGGAAGTATGGCGACGGGTGGAAGTCTGAAGATGGATGGAAGTATAAAATCAACCAGAAGTCTGATGGAAGTTTGGTGATGGGCTGTGGTTCGGCGGAAGTACGACGATGGGCATACATTGAATGATGTGCGAAAGTTTGACATTGGGTGGAAGTCCGGCGATGGATGGAAGTCTAGTGTCGATCAGAAGTTTGACGTTGGGTGGTGGTCCGACGGTTGAAGTCTGGTGTCGAGCACAAGTCTGATGACGAGCAGTGCTCTGGACGAAGTCCGAGCAGTGGTCAAGGAGGAGCTTGGTGGCAAGAGATATCTCAGATTTCTCTTCCTTCTTCCTCTCCTTTTCCCTTCCCTTTTTTTTTCTCTTTTGTAAAGAATGGGTTGTCTACTTAAATCTTTTGGGGAGTGGCATGACTAGTAAGTAGTGAGAAGATCAAGGGTAGGTTGGGATTGTTTGATATGAATGGCTGATATTGATTCTCTTGATCATGGACAATTTATCGAGTATTTGAGTGCCTTAATGATACTAGAATTTAACGATCTTGGGCTTGTTGGATTCGTCTCGTCGAGCCGCCTGATTTGATTATAAGCATATCATATTTGGAAACTGTTTAGTCATCCAATATATAGTTTGAACTTTTTAAATGTGCTACGGGTCTTCAATTTGCACGCATTTGAGCTCGGATTGATTCGAATTTGATTCTTTGAGTTCATCTTTTTGAGAAGTTCAATTTGACTATAAATCTGTTGAAATGAGAGTTCAGATGACCTAGATTTAATTTTGAAAGTTTCTAACTTGACTTTACTTTGAGATTGATAATTTTTGATGATACAACAATAATAAATAAGTTATTACAAAATGACAAAGAAACTCATTTCCCATATTTTCAAAATTATGAAACACCCTAAAAAAAAAAAAAAAAAAAAAAAAACCCCACAACGGGCCGAGGCGACCTCTCCGCCAACATCCATCAGATCAGCATCAAACGGGTATCCCCCGGCATTCACGAATCCTCATTCCTACCTCTATGCCACTGCATTTCTTGCACCTTTTTGCCGTTAGATAAGACTAATTGCCTGTTCCATCCTTCGAGGGCGCAAGAGAAGGAATTCGAAGCAGTGTTGAAGCTTACAGCGTGTGGAACCCTAGATTTTGGATAGGCTGGGCTCTAGAGGGTAAATGAGTGGCCCGGAAGAGAACAGGCGTCTCGTCAATCCCAGGTTCCTAAAGCATCCATGAGGTTGCTTATTTTCCCTTCTTTCTCGCAGCCTCCTTTGCTGCGGCGGGGAAAGCCTTTGGTTTCTCAGTACCGGCTGCGGCAGTGGTACCCGATCTCATTTCACAGCAAGAGGCCACCAGGGTACTCCGTTTACAGGTCATTCCTTGATCATGGTCTGTTTGGATACAACTGTGATTTAGTAAATCCTGCGACTATGTATTTAGATTATCCCGGGGTGGTTAAATATTGAAATCTTTGATAGAAATGCTGTAATCAAATGAAGCGAACAACTTTGCAATCTCATTTGAAATTTATAATGGAAAAAAAAAAATACAACTTGAGATTCAAATTTTAGCTGTAATTTGAAAACGAGAACTTAATTCATTCAATTATATTAGCTCTTTGTATGTGCTTGAGGATATCATGAGCGTCTGTGTCTCATGACAACGATGACACATCATGACTTGCGCACGGAAAGGACTTAATCCGTTGAACTTGAACACGTGTCTTCACTACACCAACATTTATAAAATAGAACTTAAGCCTGAGAAACAACAAATGAGAAATAGAGTTTCAGATTTTCTGTTCATTGAAGTGTTGGAGAAAGCCTCTTTAAATAAGTAGAAGAATAAAATATATTATAAAGATTGCGATGATGAAGGTTTTAATCCAATAGGTTACAACCTTTCAAATTTCATATGTTGCAGCATTTTGAATTCAATTAGAGTCAACCATATTAGTTACAACCTATCCAAATTATGTATGAATTAAATCCGAATATTACAATTTGGGCATCAAAATTTCATTCACAATAGGTTATAAACCCTTTTTCCAATAACTTCCCAAATGAATGCAATTGATTGACGACAAGTGCTAGAGTTCTATGTTTAAAGCTTGCATTTTGTAGTTATGTGTCAATCGTTGAACCTTCTCTTATGCAATAGACATTTACTTTACTGTTGACTAGTATATGTGCTGTTTGTGTGAACAATGATAAATTTGAGACATATATTTTTCTGATAAAATTTTAGTTCTCATTGTAATGTTTGTTTGTCTATGAACATCTATATGATTCTATGAGAATTTCAAAAGAGTTGAGTCTTGCATAATTGTTATTTGAAGTGGCCCCACTTCTCTCTCACATAGGTGATATTTTAATCAATGGTAATCCCACTCCTCATGGATTCCTAAATCATAAGGATAATTAAAAGTTTAGCTTAACTTGACCTTTACAAATATCATTATTTTTATCATAGGAATGGATATGAGGATATCACCCACAATTTTTTTTTTTGTTTTTTTTAGGATATCACTCACAATAATCTAACATAATCTCCATGATTAGGTTATACCCTTTAACCTAAATATTGGATCTTTAGATCTTAAACTTGAGTTTATTTCACATCAATTTTATTATTTCATGGGATTTAGTCAAAATTCTCTTGATGATTTGTCAATTAGATCATACTAATAGCAAATTGGTTATCATAATGTGTATGCATATTGTAAGCATAGTTGCTAGTCATTTAGGAATATACTCTTAGGTATTGATGGGACTACCTACATGTGAAGGAGTATGAAGGAGAAGAGTTTGGGAGAGGCTTGCAAATTTATGTTATATCCATCAAATGCGCAGATTAACTAAATCCAAGATTTATGGAAAAACAGGGAAGAAATGAGATTTAAAATTATGTAGGATTTAAAGTTATCATTGTTGCTATTTGGCATAATTTAAATTAAATCTCTTAAATCATGCTCAAATCCTGCTATCAAACAGACCTTTGTCTCTTCATCACATTTATCTAGAATTGAAAACATAGATTCTTTTATGCAGCATGTTAGTATTATTATCGTGGAAGATTTTCATGGTACAATTGCACCTCCCAAATTGAAAAAATATATACTAATAGTTTTATAGTCTTTTAGATTAGAATGCCAGCTTGTGTCAATTTCTTATTCCAGAATAGTTGGATATCTCTACCATAATGAAGCCCATTGGCACAAAATAACCATAAGTATTTAAGTACTTTTACATTTGCTTTTCAATGATAGATATCTTTGATTATTCATGTACCTACCTGAATCTACTAATAATGAAGTTAATAGTGAAGGCAATGATGACTTTTATGCAACTCATTAAGTACATTAGACTACCGATCACCCTACCATACTCCATTAGGAGAAACATCTTCATCCATTCTTGGACAAATGCTGACTTAAATCAATTAGAGTTCTAGTCATGCAAAAGCAGCTAACTCAAATTTGTTAAGTGTCTTGTTTGCATGGTGTGATTGACTTAATTTGAGACTATCAGACAACCTTGTGATACTGATCCTCAATATAACTTCAATCAATCTCATGTCCTTCATATCGGATCTCATGCTCAACATGTCATTTATAGATTTGATAATCTGATTATTATTGCTCACAATGCATATGTCAAGTGTTTCTTCTTGTCCTGATTATTACTGCTCACAAAGAAAGATACAGCTTTATGTTTCTCTTTATGACAATATTCCTGTATATCCAAAGAGGATGGATAAACTTCTTCTAAATTAACAGTTGAAGTTCTAGAAGAGAATAGCCAGGAACATGAACATGGGCAATGAAAATTCTGTATCTATCTTTATATTTGATAAATATATATTAGTAAACATCTGTTATTCGATGTTTCCAATAGTAAAAAATCAATTTGTGCCCTCTGCAAACTATAAAATTAATTTATATACCCGATTAAACAAAATTCATGGCTTTGCACTGAACATGGAAATGAAGTTGAGAAGGTTGAAGAAAAGCCTAAACAAAAAAAGAAAGATAGGGCAAAAAAATAATTTGGTCTAAATTTTTCCTCTAATATGCTAAATGCAGAACCCCAAACTTATAAAGAGCAAAATATATTCCATCTTACTTGGGAACTAGTGGACCTTCTTCTAGGATGTAGAACACTAGTTTCGAATAGGATTTTTGAGTGATAGATAAATGCAGATGGAGCAATTAACAACTATAAGGCTATACTTGTTATTAAAGGTTAGAAACAATAAGAAACACTTGATTATTCTGACATTTGTTTTCCTAGATGAGAATAAACTGTATAATTATGATATTGGTGACTTCATGCCATGGAGCCTTGAAGCTCGCCAAATGGATGTAAAGAGAACCTTTCTCAGTGGAGATCAGATGGAAGAAATCAACATGGACAAACATAAGGGTTGTGTAGCTCTAGGATAAGAGAATAAAGTGTTTAAATTGGTGAATTCCTTGCATGGACTAAAAAAAAACACTGAAATAAGGGCATGGAAAATTTTATAATGTCATGTTGACAAAAAGTTCCCAAGTTAGGCAATGACATGCAGTCAATTGTTTTTATAATGCTATTTTGTCAGCAGAATCAATGACATGCAGTCAATTGTTTTTGAACCTATCCTTGACTTTTTTGGTGTGGGTGTTATTAGTTTGGCAAGGCACCCCTCACTTACAAGTACGTGTAAGAAGGCTTCTTTTTTTCACAACTTATGGGTGCTTTTTATTCTTTATTTTGGGGAATCTTATAATCAGCTGACAAAATAGCTTCTCCACTTGTTGTAAGGCAAACCAGAACTTATGAGCATTGCTTTCATCATTTCCTTTAGAGAATGATTTTTGCATTCTATAGGTCCATTATATTGAGTAGAATAAGGAGGTGTAACCTCAATAAAGGGTGATTCATACTCATGAGTGCAGTCACTTCTTAATGCATTAATCTTTTTATTAAGTTAGTCTTCAAATTCAATCTTGTAGAGAGCAAGGTTCTCTGTAGCCTCATCATTGCTTTTCAATAAAAACACAACAATACTTTTTGCTATTGTCGACAAAAATAATGAAACACTTATTTTCACCTCTATTTGAACAAAATTTAAATCCCAAATATCATTATGGATTACATCAAGATGTTCACTGTTCCTTTCTATTCCTTGAAATGATAACCACACATACGTTTGAAATTAATATGAAATGCATGTATCTAATTTGAACTAATTAATCTACACAAAGTATCATTATTAATATGTCGTAGTTTAACATGCCATAAGTTAGAGAACTCAAGCATATGAGCAAAAGACTTTTCATTCTCATTATAAGGTTTGGCTTTGTAGAAATCTTGTTTATTTTTCATAAGCCATCATTCTCATTTCCTGATCTCAATTACATTCCTTGTTTAAACAAAACTATTTTATTGGGACTCAAAAACCATCTTGAAACCATGTAGACTTAGCAACATCTCATAATAAGGCTTCTAGGTATAAATTACAACACGCTATTAAACATTACTTATTTTTTTGACAACATCTTCAAGAACATGGTGCTTTGACCATTAATCATTGAAGTTATAGAGTTGCCCATGTACATCTTATACATTGTCACGACTTGGTCCAAGGGTCGAATTAACGAGGCTAGAACTAATAGTCGGATGGTTATTTAAAATTCATTTGCTAACTAACTTTCTCCAATACATTGTAAGATACACTAAATCTTAAATGTATTGAAGTAAAATACTATAAATACCTTTCTTTTCATAATATAATAAATTTATTTTTACACATTAAATTTTCATTCATTACGTATTATCTATTCCTATAAATCAAATTCCTAAATATATTGAATTCATATAATAAAATTTGCTCATATAAATATACACCATTGATTATTTTTAATAGCTAGTCTTAAAATCTAATTATTTTTATGTTCAATTAGATGAAATCAATTAAAGATTTTAATTTCAAATTATGTGAGCCTAAAGTTTTAAATAACAAATATAAATTTATCTTAAATTTTATAATTGCATAAATTCTAATAATTTAATTGTAAGATAAGATCTTAGGTTTTAAGAATTATCATTGCATTAGTCAACTATCTAAATTTCTCTCTATATCTCATAGTTTTTTTTTAAAATATAATTTTACTCATTATTCTAAAAAAAAAAATAAATTTTAAATTATGCAATCTCATAACTTAAATAATCAATATTAATAAAGTTATGAAATTCTCTAAATAGACAACAATTACCTTAAAAATTTTCTAAATAAAAACTAACCTTTAATCTTATAAATGTTCAGTCGATCCCTAGCCTTTGCATACTCCCCATGTTGGCGCTCGTGCTCGGCCTCTGCACGATCTCCACCTCTCAGTTGCCACAAGCTAGCGACGTCGTCTCCCTCTGTTGGTTTTAAATAGACAAGGTTTCTTAGACATCATCGTTTTCCCCTCAACCAAGCAATGCAAATAGCCCGCTCGTCTCCCCCTATCTTTTTCTTCTTCTTGAGCACGACTCTAGGAGATGAAATGTACTTTCGACGGAATATGTCAGCCCTTTTGTCTTTTCGACTCCAATCAATGTCTCCTTAGTCTTCTTCAATATCGAATGATGGTAAAGACTCGACACCTAGAGCTCTTTGTACATTACATGGTTTTGACATTTGTCAGAGCAGTGAGTTCGGGATATGACATAAATAATATTTGAAGTTATGAATGTAGTTGTAACTCTATTAGAACATATTTGGCATGTGGCCCCAACGTATAACCTCTAGAGATATTAATATTAGACTTGACACGAAAGATTTGTGTTTGGGGCAATCCATATGATATTCAGATCTTTTTCAGGTTTTAGCTTAAATTACTTGAAAAAATGGGTTAGTTAGGCTTGTGTCGTATCAAGTTTAAGTCATTCAAAAAATAATGATTTAATTATTTCTTTCTTTTAAAAAGATAAAATACTCATTAAATTATACATTTTTTTGTTATTTTTATTAAGTTTTGGTGTCCAAATTTGAAAATTATACCCAAATTGGGTAATTGTGTCTATATCGGGTCATATTGACACCAACATATTACAATTTAAATATTTTTCATGTCAAGTCATTTCTATTTTGTTTGGGTTGAGTTTTGGTTGAGAATTTTGAGTCGTGTATTAAAAGGGTTGGGTTGAGATTGACTATATTTGCGTCCTGTGTTTTTCAGGTCGAACATGAATCTAGCTCTTGAACCTGAATTGATATACCTAATAAACACTACTCCGCCTGATTTGAGTCAACCATATTTACTTCAAAGACTACAACACATATGCTGATTTTATAAACATCCAAAGTGACGGCTTCCTCCATACAACCATTTTAGTTGTTTTCTTTTTAGACATTCTACAGTCCTCCAACTTGTGAATCATTTTGTTATAATCAAAGCACTTTCCTTGAAATATTTATTTCTTCTATTTTCCACCTTTAGGTTCTAACTTGCACCTTGTTGCCCTTTAGGGTCATAAAGCCATGACCATGCGTTAGCATGTTGGCATTGTTGGTATTGGAATCTTCTTGTATCCTATGTTATTTTCCTCAATGCGAAGTACGACAATGAGCTCTCGAACTTCCATTTCCTTTTTCTTGTGCTGTAAATAATTCTGGAAGTCCTTCTGCACAGGTTATAGCTTGTCAATAATAAATGCTTATAGGACCACTTACAATGATTCCCTCGGCATGAAGATTCTATTCCTAACTCACCATAGTCATCATAGAGTCCATCATCTTAAAGTTTAAGAAATGAAACACAGAACTTTCTTTGCAACAACATTTTTTGTCTTATATCTATGGGCCAAAGTCTCCATACTTTGCCAATTTTTGGAGCTGTACACACTATATAGCTCTTCAGACAATCATTTAAAACTTAATTCTAGCATATAAGAGTGCTTCATAAATCCATAACATTCGGAGCTTGAACATCTAACTCATTTCCTTTAAGATTGGAAGAATCCTCCATTAGGAATGTTGCAAGATTCAACCATGCAAGGTAAAAAATTTCTTTTGCCATCATCAGGGGTAGATCCAAGAAATTTTCTTAGTGGTGGCGGCGGTGGCGCGGGAGGGGGTGGGGGTGGGGGGGGGGGTTGCGCCCAAACTAACAATTTTAGAAGTACTTTAAACCCTTTTTGTCCAATGTGGTATCGAAATATTCTGTTAGGATTATGAATTTCACATTTACTTTTTCAAAATAAGACCATTTGATATACTTTTTAAGGGGTTTTTTTGCTTGACTTTATAGTGCACTGCAAAGTATTTGAAACTCTTTGGATTGTGTATTTGTGGTGTATTCGAAACCCGCTCAAATCAGGTAAGTTTCGAATACCGAGCACGAAAGACTCTGTAACATCAGAACGAGGTGCGAAGGAGACTCTTTGCCTCCCGCAAAACCCCAGCTTTTTCAGGCATTTTCTTTAAAGAAATCCAGGGAAACACAAGCTCTCTCCGTCGTTTTTCCTCACTAATTCCAGCTATCGCGAAATCCTGCCGTGCTCGTCGTTCTTCCTCACAAAATCTAGTCTTCGGGTGCATGCTCGTCATTCTTCGTAATCAGGTGCATGACTTTCTTTCTTGTGAAATCCAGTCGGAAATCAGATATTCTTCCAATGAAGTATGGTATTACCTTGTGAATTTATTGTAGTTTTATTCATCGTTTTGCTTTTTGGTTGAATATAAGCTTAATATTGCTCAAATCAGTTTCCATTTCTTAACCTAGATTCTGAAACCCACTCGTCTCTTTTCCCCAAATCCAAATTTTAGAAACATTAAATCATGGAGAAGAGAGAAAGTTGCAAAAGCTGAGAAATATGTGTTGATTTCTATAATCATGACTCATGTATGGTTATATGTTCTTGTGTCCATATACTAATGTTTGTAAATATAGATTGTAACAGAAAACTATAAGGCTTTCTTTTTCTTTGGAAATGCTACCAAAATTTGATGATGCCTTTCTTTTAAGGTTAACAGATTTAAATTAAAGTATAATAAAAAAAAAAAAAACAAAACAAAAAAGAGACCATTGACTTCATCTATTGTAGATGATGTCCTAAAAGAAGAGTAAAGTACATGCTGTTGATCGAAGTCTTCAAGAATATATTGTGTTGATGGCCGATAGTGTAGCTCAAGTTATAAATGCTATCCAAAATACAACAAGAGCCTATCAAACATTCCTGATTTTTCTGAAAAGGAGATTGATACAATGTATGATAACTTATTGGAGAATTCCACAATGATACAATCTTTCCTTGCAAAACCTATAGAGTCGAAGGCTAGATGGATTCATAAAGAGTTAGAAAAATGATTTATATTGTGAAAAATATTAGAACTTTGAGTTGTAATAGGTAGATATTTTTGGAGCTCTTTGTGTTATATATATAAACATTTTGACTTTTTTAGCTGTAACACCTTCAAATGTATTTTGGATTTATGAAGCATTAATGGTAATGTTGAGTATATTTGTAGCAATATTAAATTTACTCTAGGTATGATAGCTCATTTTCAAGTGCTTGATTTCTATTTTCAAGTGCTCCAATATATAAAAGTTTCATATTGTTCAATTAATAAATATATTATGTTAAAACATTGAATAATATTGTTTCCATTCCATTTCAATAGTATACTACACTTGATACTGCATATCATACCAAATAGCGCCAAAAGTATTCAAAATATGCTACTTTTACTTTACACTGCATATACCTCACCAAACAAGAAAAATAGTTCCCTTGCATTTACTTTGCAGATAACCAAACAGTTCCAAAGTATTCTGAATACACTGCATTTACTTTACACTGTATTATTTTTTCAGGCAACTAAACAACCTCTAAATTGTTGAATGCTAATTCAGTGCTTCAATGGTTGTCTCCACCCTAATATCACACTTAAATGGCCTTGCCTTATTTTTTTTTTTCAAAAGAAATAAAAAAATTTTGCACTACCATTTGACTTTCTTCTTGCAGATTATTTATGCTTTTCTATTATTTGCATGGTTTGTGCAAGTTCACATCATTTCCTTTCTAATAGAAATTTCGTAGATACTACAAGTTCAAAATAATGATGCCAATCTGACTCTTGATTGCTGGATAAGGTTGTCAGTGTAGCTAAATTAACTCATCAGCACTAATTGCTCATTCTAGAGGCAATAGCTTGCAAGCAGAGCATTTGATTTTTATATCTTGCTTGATGAAATAGGTTTGGTGGCTTTTCTTCCAAATGCTCGGTTGTAGATGTTGACGTTGATGCCAGTTCTATTGCCACGGAGGATGAGACCTCTGAAGATCTAACATCTTGTTCAAATACGTTGTCTCCCTTGGCATCAGATATTTTCTATTCCGCTTCTTTTAAGTCACTAAAGGAAGATGACTGCATAAATTCTCTCCTAAGAGAAGTACCGGTATGATCTATTTCTCCTTCCTGTCACATCTTGGATACAGCTTCATTTGAGATGACACATCCTATGCAAGCTACAACATTAATAGAATTGCATTCTTATTTGTCCAAAAGTTGCATTTCAGGTTCTAACCAAGGATGAACAAGCTGCTCTGGCTGCCACTCCGGCTCACCCTGCAGGTTTATATGGTATGAAATTTTCATATGGAATTACTCAGTTGTTCAGATAATTAAGTAATAAGTTGTGATGCAGTCTATCCTAATTATTTTTCTCAAGCATGTATTGAGATATGACTTGCATTATTAATCTGAGTGTAATCAGCTTAGGAGCTTGGGCAAGATCTTTAACATGTGATACTGATGGAACTTCAATCCCCATAAGAGTAGAAAATAGGAAAAAAAGTGCATGAATGATGATCCTTTGAGGAATATTTCTTGCATACGTCATAATTCAATTTTAACTGTATTATGAAATTTCACCATAATTTCGGGAAGGTAGAAAGCCTTTTTATTTACAGTTTCAAGGGCTTTCTAAGGTCTGTACATTGAGATAGAAGTGGAGCTTTTAACAGATGCTGCAGAAGCCTTTGTCTTTTGTTCTGAGATCTTGGAGGACCAAACAATTCCTAGTAGTCAAAAGGGAGGATTGAGCCGCCAAAAAGTGGGTGATTTGTTAGATCATTCCAAGCGAGCTGTATAAGATGGGATGAGAGGGGAAATTGAAAAGTTTTTTCTTTCCTATTCAAGTATCCATGTTGCCCTATGAAGCACAGGGATGGGCGCGGGCATGAACACGAGAACATTGATACGAATCGATATGTAAATTGAGATATGGCATAATTATTAAAATTAGGGCACAACACGCCATGCATACATTATATTTTATAAATTATTAATATTTATACTATTCTCTCCTAAAGTCTTAACAAAAAAGTTATAATTAATTTATTTAAATTGTCACCTAAACTTCATAATTTTTTTTAATAATGATAAAAGAAAAACAAAAATTATTTATAATAAATGAAATGCTTTGTCATATGAGGATTTATTACTCCCTTTCAATTGCCCAATTTTTTTTTTCTTACAGATATAAAGAAACGACTAAAAAACTAAATATCAATGCACTTTGCAAATTAATTGGAGTTAACATTGACCACTTTATAGTCATCATTAGCATTAGTACTCGTTTTCTCTTGAATGGCACATTCATCATCATCTAAAAAAATATAATTTCCAAGGACAGCTCATTACGAGAAAGAATTAACAACTTCAAGTATTGCAATGTCATCCATTATAGTTAATGTAATCCCAATAATATCCCACAACTTAGTATTCTCTTGTGTATATTATTGGTTCCTCCTAAATAAAAGCTGAAGAATTTGTTAGGCCAATTCATCCTGAACTTGCCCAGCCGGCCGGCTTAGGTCTACAGGAGGCGGACAATTGCCGCCTCCCTTTCAATTTGTCGCCCACATTAGTGGGCCCCACTAGTCCAATTTAATTCAAAATTGAAAAGGAGGGGGCAACTAGAGCTTGGGAGGGAAATTAGATTAGGCAAGTTTATGTATTAAAGAGCATGAGATGTTTAAGGGTTAGGTTATGCTTGATTTGATTTTGGTTAGGGTTCCTTGGTGATTTGGGCTCTGTACTATCTCGTCTAGAGATTTGGGAGAGACAATCCTCCTCTCTAATTGAGGATAACTTGTATATTGTTTCCATGCTTGTTTGGCTTTGATTTTCGTATTGCAATCTATCGTTTGTGCTGATTTCTCCCAGATTTTGTGCTATTCTCGCTGTTTTTCACCAATTGGTGATAGGTTTGCTTGCGAACTCAAGTATTACCCATAAGGTTACTTGCCAACTCAAGTATTTCCTATCAAATTGGTATCAGAGCAATTCTTGGGGTTGTTCGTGGGCTGATTTTGGCGAATTCCAGTGGCTGATTTTTGGTCAGGAAAGGAGAAAGTTGCTGTTTTGTAATCCAGAATTTTTGGATCTACAAAAATCCAGATCGAGATGATGGCCAAGAAAGTAGATGCACTAGAAGAAAGGCTTGAGGGGAGATGAACAAAATCAAGACAACGGTGGAGGAAAGGATTTCCTCCATGGAAAGACAAGTAGCCGATCTCCGGGACATGATGAAGAAAATGTTGGAAATCCACAACCATATGGCGGCTTCCGTGGCCATGGTTTAAAATTGCGCAATATGAGGCTCGCCTTGAGGCCCGCCTTTGCGCAATTCCAGTAAAAAATGCCTCAATGCTTACGCCTCGAGTTATTTTTATGAGGCTTGTGCCTCAACTTGATTGAGGCTCGCCTTGAGGCCCACCTCGCCTCACTGGCATGAGGCTTACGCCTCACACTATATATATTAAAACTTACATAAATCTTGAAGTAAATGCCCGTCATTGGACTCTATAGGAGAGGAGGAAGGGGAGAGAGCAATTCATCATAATGATGATTCAAATGAAGAACACCTTAGTGATGATAGTGTTGATGACTTATGAGTTCTTATGTGATATGTCATTGCTATTTAATATTTATTTTTGGAAATTGGAATTATATGTTAATGAAAAGAATATCGGAATTTGGGAAAGATAGAATTTTGAGTTGAACTATATTTCATGTTGTCTTATTATTGGGATATTTTGATTTCACTTTATATCTTATGCTTTTTTATGTTTTATATTATTCACTCATTAGTATATAAAAAATTAATCATTTTATGTTTATGCAATCTTTTGATTTTGAGGCTTACGCCTCAAAATGCCTTGAGGCTTACGCCTCGTCTCACTAATAAAAAACGCCTCAATACCCGAATATGCAATTTTAAACATTGTCCGTGGCAAAAGGGGTGGAAGGGAAAAGCACGAATTTTGAAATCCATAGGGAGGAAGATGAGGTGGAAATCGTGGAAGGAGAAAGAAGAAGATATCATCTAGAGCTTGTCTAGAGGGAAGAAAGAGGAGGTGGATTTGTGGAATGCCAGGAGGGATACTATGGCTGCTGAGGTGCTGATTTTGAAGAAAGAAGAGGAGAATTCGAAAGGGGTTTGGGCTATGGCAGGTCAAGGAAAGACCGGGAGACGTGGAGAGGGCCGAGCACTAGAGATCGGGGAGGCTATAGAAGAATAAGGGGGAATGATTGAAGATACCCATATTTGAAGGGGAGGATGCGTATGGGTGGATTTATAAGGTGGAGAGGTATTTCATCATCAATGGGCTGACAGAGGTGGAGAAGCTGACAGTGGCATGCTTGTGCTTGGAAGGGAAGGCAATGTCATGGTACTAATGGAGGGACCAGAGGAGACCTATCAGGAACTGGAGGGAATTCAAGGACTGCATAATAAAATGTTTTCAAGACGTCCGGGGAGGAGATTTCTATGATTAGTTCTTTGCTCTGACACCGGAGGGATCATTAGCAGATTACCGGGAGCGGCTTGAGCCACCTGGCTAGTAGCGTGGAGCGATTATCAGATATTGTATTGGAGGGAAATTTCATGAAGGGGTTGAAGGTAGAGATTTGAGTAGTAATGAAGGTTATGATGCCTCATGACTTGGGGGAGGCCATGAAGTTGGCACAACTAGTTGAAAATCAAAGTAATCTAGAGAGGAAAGTTAGGAGTAGCAGCACAAGTGGCACTTACAGGATGACGACCACCCATCTAGCACTTAAAGGTCTTGTAATAAGAGGAAGTTGGGAGGCCACCAGGGAGAAGACAGTAGGAGGGAGTGGGGGAAATTTCAAGTGACTGACAGAGAAGGAGATGCAGGAGAAGAGGACTAAGGGGTTATGCTTCAGGTGCGATGAGAAGTATACACCAGGGCATCGGTGCAAGGACCGAACTCTTCAGGTTCTCACCGTCTGTGATGACGAGGAAACTGAGGAGGGCGGTGAGGGGGAGTCAGAGGAGATGGAGGAGAAGCTGCATTTGGATTTGGCCGAGATTTCCCTGAACTCGGTGGTAGGATTCATCACGAATCATACCATGAAGGTGAAGGGGGAGATAGAGGACATGGAGGTGGTGGTGCTAATTGATAGTGAGGCTACTCACAATTTCATTTTCACTCAGGTCGTCAACTAATTGTTGATATTGGTGGATACCGGTTGTTATGGGTTGACGATAGCTATGAGGAAGGTGGAGAAAGGCCAGGGGATCTACAGAGGAGTGCTACTGATTATTCAGGGGATTCAGGTGAGTGAAGATTTTCTTCCACTGGAGTTAGGGAGTACCGATGTCATCCTGAAGATGAAGTGGCTGTAAAATTTGGGAGACACCAAGTTGAATTGGGGAGCACTCACGATGAAGTTGATGGTGGATGGAAGGAAGGTGGCGATTAAGGGAGATGCAGGACTATCCAAATCCATGAATTATCTTAAAACTATGGTGAGGAATATACAATTGGCGGGTGGAGGATATTTGGTGGAGCTAACAGTTTGGAGGGAGCTAGATTGGAAGAGGGAGGGGATATACCCTTCTCCATACAGGCGCCGATTCAGCAATTCTAAGAGATATTTCAGCCACCTCAGGGATTTCCACCGTCGAGGGAGCAAGAGCATGCAATCATTTTGAGGGAGGGTGTCACCCATCACTGTACGACTCTATCACTACCCTCAGTTTCAGAAGGATGAAATTGAAAAAATGATTAGAGAGATGCTGGAGGCAAGAATCATTAGATCCAACATTAGTCCATTGTCTAGTCCAATTCTATTGATGAAGAAGAAAGACGGCAGCTGGCGATTCTGTGTAGACTACAGGGTGCTCAATAAAGTACCTGGCAAGTTTCTCATACCAGTTATTGAAGAGCTGTTAGATGAATTGAGTGGATCAGTGATCTTCAGCAAGATAGATATGAAATCAGGATACCAGTATATCATAATGAAGGAGGATGTGCCCAAGACTGCCTTCAGAACTCATGAGAGACACTATGAGTTCCTGGTGATGCCTTTTGGCTTCATCAATGCTCCAGCTACTTTCCAGACACTTATGAATAAGATTTTCAAACCTTATCTCAGACGATTTGTATTGGTATTCTTTGATGACATCCTAGTCTACAACAGGACAGAAGTGGATCACTGGGTGCATTTGAAAAGGGTGTTAGAGGTGCTGCAGAAGCACCAGCTGAGAGCCAACTTAAAGAAGTGCTGTTTCGCACAAGCTAGTATAGAGTACTTGGGCCATGTTATAT